AGTCCACCATGTGCAGGAGCTTGCACGCGTTTCCCTTGGGGCATTTGCCCTTGCTGAAGGGCACGCAGAAGCCAGTCTTCGGAGAGACGATGGCTGCGGTGTCCCTGTTGCCTGTCCTCAGGTGGTACTGGTTGCGCCGCGTTCGGTGTAGCTCAAGAACAGCTGTGACTCGGTGGTGGAGCCAAGTGTAACAGCGCTCTGGTGCCCCTTTAGGAGCTTTGTTGTACGTGTTCATGTCGTCCTTCATCCAAGGATGCAACTCAATCTGTGTACGAAACAGTGACTCCATAATGTTCGGCGGAGGAAGCTCCCGGAGCTCCAGGAGCAGTTGGTCCCACTCCGTCACGAACCTTTTGAGGTCATCTCCATGCATACGTAGAGTGTTGATCCTTTCGAAATCATGAATCGTATCGTCGGCGTCGGTCACATCGTAATAACGCAAAATCTTCCAGTAGATCTGACGTCCCTTTATCATGCGACCGTGCTTGTGCTCTGTGTTCTCCAGCAATTTGATATCCAGTTTCAATTCGCTGCTGAGAATCGCTTGTAAAGCTTCCGCGAACTTCAGATCCAAACTTGCGAAATCACCGCTGTCCTGTAGATCATCCAGTGTCACACCGGGCTGTTCTGCAACACAGAAGAACTTGTATGCAGCATCTGGACGCCCAGAGGCACTGCAGAAGGCCTTGCGGACTGCGTGCTGCCACTCAAGAACATGTCCGATTCTGGGAAGACCTGGAACACGCACACGCTCGCTCTCCTTCACCGGTGTGATGGTAGCAACAGGGCTCCCTCCGATGGTGTATTGAGACTGCATGACAGTAGCACCAAGGACGTTGGGCACTGGTGAGTGCGTGCGAAAGCTTGCAGCGTCGAAGTTTGCCTCCTGTGCAGGTGCTGTGGAAGCGGCCGGGGCCGCGGTCCTGCTGGCAGCTGACGGTGACACACGTCGGGCCTGTGGCTGGTAGCCAGCGGCTGGGGTTCCCCCCTGCACACCCCCCGCGTTCGAGGCAGGGGCGCCGGGAGAAGTGCGTCTGGAGGTCGGGGCTTGTGGTGGTACAGGTGTGTGCTGTGTAGCATCAGCTACGTGGGCCTTGAATTGGTCTTCGAGAATGATGTTGTCACGTTGCAACTGTTCGATGCAGCCTGAGAAACCATCAACATTCCTCTGGACCTCGCGGGTCTTGTCTGTAAGCACGGAATACTGTCGTTGAGTAGACTGGGAAAGGTCTGTAAGAAGAGAACGTAGCTGATCCATGTCGGCCTTTACGCGCGACAGCTCCTGCTGCGTATCCGCCAGGCGGGTCTGCACTTCAGATACCCGTGCCTTTCCAGCATCCCTCTCAGAGCGAAGCTCGTGTAACTGCCTTTGCACGTGGTCCGCCTCCGCACGCACGGTCCGTTGTACGGCTGCCAGTACGGCGGGGTCGTCAACCGAAGAAGGGGGCACCAGCTGGCCAGTCTGGGCCCTTACAACGCGCAGCTCAGTCACGGCCTCTTCGAGAGTCAGGACTCTGGCGGTGAGCTTTGGGATCGAATCAACTTGGGAATCAGAGAAACGCTGGTTGACAGCATTTTCGGCTTGACAGAGTTTGCCGTAGAGATCTTGTTGGACTTGTTGGGTCTCAGCACGAAGATCAGATGTAGCAGACATCGTGGCGTCACGAAGCTCAATAATCTGGCCCTGGAGAGCTGAGGGAGCCGCGCCGGCGCTGGCGGCAGCAACTGCTTGGAGTTCATCGTGGAGAAACTTGGCGCGAGTATCATTGTGGTCACGCATATGGATAAAACGTGCTTCCAAATGAGAGAACTCGGAGTGCACAGCGGCAAGCTCGGAGCGGTCTTGGCCACGCTGAGCGGCAACAGCATCGACCTTCGAAACGAGTTGACACATGACGTGACGATCCTCGTTCAACCTAGCGTCGACTTCCTGCAAACCTTTAGCGAGATCCGATCGCAAGATCGCAGTCTCAGTGGCGGTTGCCCGGTGCACGAGAGCAGTCTGATGCTCCACATACGTCTGTACCTGGTCTCTTAGCTCAGCCATATCTGTTAGGGGGACGGCGGCAGGCGCAGCCACAGGTGAGCTGACAGCGCGTCTTCGTGCCCTCTGGGAGGGACTGCGGCTGTGCAAATCCTGGGCTGCAATCTGGAACTGTTCGGGGCCACGTCTGTCACGAGGCGAAGCTGCGCGAGAACGAGAAACAGTGACTTGACGACCGGCGAAGGCTGCGCCGTCGCGGGTCTGAGCACGAAACTCGAGGGCGCGGACGTGCTCTCGGACTGGCGTCACGGCACGGGTGACTGGGTTCCGTCCTGGCGCGCCGGCGTTCGCGTGACTCCCGCCCCAGCGGCGAGATCCTCCAGAGCCTCTCTGCACGGGACTTCCCTGTGGAGGCGAAAGAGCCTCCGAGTGGGCCCCCCCAGCAGGGGCCCGAAAAGTCGGGGTCAGATTTTGAGGAGGTTGAGGAGTCTGGAGCTGAGGAACTCCAGGAGCCACAGGGTGTCTCGCTCTGACAGCATTTCTGGGCGGATCATTCCGTGGCACGAGGACCTCAGCGCTCTGAAAGAGATGCTGCGCAGCACCCGAGCTGCGGTCTCCCGCTGCATCCGACACGACGGGCGACGCGACGGGATGAACGACTGACGACGAGGAAGGGGCCTGGAACTGAGGAGTACCAGGAGCGTGTCCTTGTCCAGCTTCAAGACCCTCAATACCTGGAGAAATGGCCACACGATTAGCTCGCGGGATGCCATGTACGTCCATCAAAACTTCAATCTCCTGCTCCAAGTTGCGCGCCACGGGGTCCGCCACGCCGTCGCGAAGAGGCGCGGGGCCGAAAGGCGCACCGCCCTCCATCGCGACTGAGTGGGGGGCTCAGGAAGCGCGGAAGTTGGAGCGATTGCGTTTTGAACAGAGTCGGCTGATAACCTGTGTGAGGGGGAGGGGGACCGAAGGACCGAACCCACCCCCAAAGTGTCCGTAGGTAGACGTGATGAGGATGATGGAAGTTGTCCACTTCACCCTCTGAGTACGAGTACCTGCATCCGAGCCGAAAGGGGCGATGGATATGAGCAAGATAGGAGGAAAGTAGGGGGATTCACACACACCAGCGGAATGAGCGAAATGATTAAATAAGGGAACTCACAGTGCGTGCCTAGTTCAGGAGTGTCGATGTGCCACGATAAAAAACAAGCGAACTCGACAGTCAAGCTTCTCGCCGGGCATCCCGGTTCGCTGCTGCTGCCCTGTCGGTCGCTTGCACCACTACAGTGTGAGAGGAGGCCCAGCCAAGAAACTGGCGGGCTCCGATCAGAAAGGACAAGGAAAGGGAAGAGGATCAGCGCTGGTAGCAGAAACAACAAAAGGAACAACACGGAACGGACGAAGAAGCAGGAGCAAGGGAAAGAAAATGAGGGGAGAGAAGAAGGAAGGAGAAGGGGATGAGGGAGGGAGGCGGGGAGGAGACGAGCGTGCCAGCTGACACGTGTCGACTCGATATACATGCGGACCGAACGCAACGCTGCCCGAACTGTCGAAGGGATCCTCTCAGAGTACAGCCGGACAAGCATCCTCCTTGCTCCTCGCGGCTTCCGATGGCACCGCCCTGCGCAGCGCTATGGTGCAGACGGAGCAGCGCGTGCGGCGTCCCATGTCGCGCAGCGCGAATGTGCCAACCACCTCCCGCCCGACCCATGAGAAGGCAGGAGACCGGAGGAGGAGGAGGAAGAGGAGGAGACGCGGAGGAGGTGGAGGAGGAGCGGAGGAATCAGGCCGACAACAAATGCCCAACAACAATTATTGTCCAAAACCGACTGCTCTTCCTCCTCCTCCTCCTCATCATCCTCCTCCTTCCCCCCTCCAACTTGTTGTGGTGATGGAAAACAGGCCCATCAGTCCAGATTGCTCCTCTTGGAGTTAGCGGCGCACGAGGCGATCGAGGTCTCCATGGGGCCACGAAACGTGTGAAGGGGTGCGCCGAATTAGGGATTGAAGCCGCATGCAAACCGTGCCACTGGGGCATTCCGTGGAGCTCACTTCGGGACCACGAAACTTATGAGGGGTACGCCGGATCGGGGGGCAGGGACCGCATGCGGACCCTGCCACTGGGGTCTTCGGCAATGCTCCCTAAATGGCCACGAAACGTGTGAGAGTTACGCCGAAATTGGAGGTAGAACTGCATGCGGACTCTGACACTGGGGCCTCCAGTGGATCTCCCTGTAAGACCACGAAACGTGTGAGGGGTGCGCGGGGATGGTGACGATGAAGACGACGATGGTGATGGTGATGGTGATGGTGATGGTGATGGTGATGGTGATGATGATGATGATGATGATGATGATGATGATGATGACGACGACGGTGACGACGATGATGATGATGGTGGTGACGATGATGATGATGATGATGATGATGATCATGATGATGATGATGATGATGATGATGATGATGATGATGATGGTGGTGGTGATGATGATGATTGTGATGATGGTAATGGTAGTGATGGTGATGGTGATGCCGAGGCTGATGGTGATGATGATGCTGCTGGTGACGAAGATCAACTGTTTTCTCAAAGCGGGTTCCGGCCAGAACCACACAAAAGCAACAGACAAACACTTGAATCCAGAAAGTAATACTGCTTTTCGAGATTTTTGCGTCTTCGCCATGTACTACGAATCGCTATATCTGTGCGACGGCGAGGATCAGCTGTCATCTCAGAGCGGGCTCGGGCCAGAATTGACCAGAAACAGCAGAAAAACATCTGAATCCAGAATATTATACGATTTTCCAGATTTTGCGTCTTGGCCAGCGTACTACGAATCACTATAGTTCGTGCAACGGCGAAGATCAGCTGTCGGTGGCGGCGCGCAAGCCCATCTAGGCTGCGCCATCCCTCGGACCCGCGAGGAGGAAGGAGGCGCGGCCGTGCGAACGCTTGAGCCAAAATGGGAGGAGGAGGAACAGAATGAAGAGAATAAGCATGGCGCGGGGCCCAAGCCTGGCGAAGTCTCCCCTGCCGTCGTGTTCACGAGCAGCGCCGAGCGCCCCCCGTGGACGTACCCCCCACGCGGTAGCCGCGTGACGATATCCTTGGCGGGCCGGCAGGCGTCGAGGAGGCAGCGGCGGCGGGGGTCGCTCCCTAGCTCGTCGTACTCGTCCTCCCCCTCATCGGCTCCTGTTCCTCATCCCTCTCCTCCTCTCCTCCTCCTCCTCCTCCTCCTCGTCCTCCTCCACCCCCTCCTCCTCATCCTCCTCGTCCTCCTCCTCCTCCTCCTCCTCCTCCTCCGTCTCCTCCTCCTCCGTCTCCTCCGTCTCCTCCTCCTCCGTCTCCTCCGTTCTCCTCCCTCCTCCTCCTCCTCCTCCTCCCTCCTCCTCCTCCGTCTCCTCCTCCTCCTCCTCCTCCTCCTCCTCCTCCTCCCTCCTCTCCCTCCTCGATCAATCTACTCATCATCATCATCATCATCATCATCATCATCATCATCATCATCATCATCATCATCATCATCATCATCATCATCATCATCATCAGCATCAGCATCAGCATCAGCATCATCATCATCATCACCATCATCATCATCATCATCATCATCGCCATCGTCATCAGCAACAGCAACAGCAGCATCAGCGGCAACATCATCGTCAGCATAGTCGTCTCATCATCATCATCATCATCATCATTCTCATCATCATCATCAGCATCGTCATGATCATCACCACCATCATCATCATCATCATCATCGTCATCAGCATCATCATCCGCATCATCATCATCAGCTTCATCACCATCAGCATCAGCAACATCATCATCATCAGCATTATCACCAGCAGCATCATCATCAGCAGGACCATCGTCGTCGTCATCATCGCCATCAGCATAGTCCTCCTCCTCATTCATCGTCTTCCTCCTCATCAGCATCTCCGTCAGCATCAACATCAGCATCAGCATCAACACCACCACCACCAACAAGCACCACCATCATCGTCATCGTCATCATCATGATCAGCAGCATCAGCATCAGCATCAGCATCACCAACATAAGCATCAACATCATCTCCATCAGCATCATCATCGTCATCATCATCACCATCAGCATCATGATAGCCACCATAATCATCATCATAAGCATCATCATCGTCATCATCATCAACATCATCCTCATCCCCAACACCACCAACACCGCCATCGTCATCATCGTCATCACCGTCATCACCGTCATCATCGTCATCATCAGCATCATCATCAGAATCAGAATCATCATCATCATCATAATCATCTCCATCAGCAGCACCGTCAGCATTGTTAGCATCATCACCACCATCATCATAATTATGATCATCAGCCCATCATCATCGTCATCATCATCATCAGCATCATCATCATCGATCGTCGTTATCATCCATCCTCCTCCTCCGCATCCTCATCCTCAACATCGTCCTAGTCCTCCTCATCCTCCTCCTCCTCATCCTCGTCATCATCAGCAGCATCAGCATCAGCATCAGCATCACCAACATAAGCATCAACATCATCTCCATCAGCATCATCATCGTCATCATCATCAGCATCATCGTCACCATGCTAGCCATCATAACCATCATCATAAGCATCATCATCTTCATCAGCGTCATCCTCATCCCGAACACCACCAACACCGCCATCGTCATCACCGTCATCACCGTCATCATCATCATCATCATCATCAACATCATCATCTCCATCAGCAGCATCGTCAGCATTGTTAGCATCATCACCACCATCATCATCAACATCATCAGAATTATGATCATCAGCCCATCATCATCGTCATCATCATCATCATCAGCATCATCATCATCGATCGTCGTTATCATCCATCCTTCCTCCTCCGCATCCTCATCCTCAACCTCATCCTAGTCCTCCTCATCCTCCTCCTCATCCTCGTCGTCACCACCACCACCACCACCATCATCATCATCAGCATCATCAGCATCATCATCATCATTATCAGCATCATCATCATCAGAAGCGACAAGATCAACACCATCAACATCGCCATCAGATCACCATCACCGTCATCACCACCAGCATCATCATCACCGGCACCATCGTCATCAGCATACTCACCACCACCAGCATCGTCACCATCACCATCATCATCGCTATCCTCATCCCCGTCCTCATCCTCATCCTCATCAACATCAGCATCACCACCACCATCATTATCATTGGCATCGTCATCATAATGAGCACCAGCACCAGTATCAACGTTAGCATCAGAACCACCAATCATCATCGTCAACAACATAAGCAGCATCGCCGTCGTCATCATCATAACCATCACCTCTACCACAACCATGATCATCATCATTATCATCACCATCACCATCATCACCACCACTACCATCGTCATCAGCATCATCATCAGCAGCATAACCACCATCATCATCACAATAATAATCATCATCATCATCACCAGCATCATCATCACCACCACCATCAGCAGCAACAGCATCATTATCATTATCATCATCGTCATCAGCATCATAATATCATTAGTATTCATCATCTTCTCACTCATCTTGTTCATCACCATCATGATGATGATCATCAGCATCAGCATCAGCATCAGCATCAGCATCAGCATCAGCATCAGCATCAGCATCAGCATCAGCATCAGCATCATCATCATCCCCCTCCCTCCCGTCCGCCCTCTCTCCCCTGTCCGTTCCCTCCCTCCGTTCCCTCGCTACCTCCCTACCGCCCTTATCGTCCTCCTCGCCTTCCTCGTCCTCGTTCTCCTCGTCGTCGTCGTCGCCGTCCTCCTTCTCCTTCTCCTCCTCCTCCTTTCTCTCGTTTGCATCTCCTAGGTCCCCCTCCTGATCCGCCTTCCCCGTCTCGTCGCCCTCCCCCAGGACTTCCTAGACCCACTAACTCAGGGAGCCCTCGAAAACCCGCCCCCCCAAGGACAGGGCCCACAGAGGAAGAAACAAAAGCTATACAAACACAAAACTTTCGGAGGTCTGCGCGGACATCTTGGATGTGCACTGGACCCTCATCCCTGGCGCGTGGAGCGCGCCAGAAAGGGCGCCTGAGGTGCCGCCCAGATGTTCCAGCGCAGATCCAAGAACTCCGCGCGGAACTTCCACAACGTATGCTTGTACAATTGTTGCTTCGAGCCCAACATTGTGCTGCGTGGGTTGGGTGCCCGTGAACGGAAGGGGAAATATGCGGGTGACAAGCAACGTACACCGCCCGTGCACCCTTGAAGGGGCCATGAGACACACAAATACATACACACAAATAAAAGGATTCCCCATATTGTCTCATATTTTATGGGTTTTTGTCTTCCCCACACTTCCTATGTTTTTCCATATTTTCCTGGAGATCGACGATTAGTTGTGTCTGTGTGTTTTTTCCCCTCCTGAACCCTTCTGCGCCCGCAGGGGCCATTTCGGGCCCCCTGGCCGCTTTCCTGCGGTCCTCGATTCCCCCACGTTTCTCCCCACCCCACCCCACCCCTGTTGCTGTCCGCCCGACCAGGTGCACGGCTGGAGCTGGGAAGGATGGCGCCAGGGAATGGGTGAGGGGGAGGGGGGATGAGGGAGGGGGAGGGGAGCGGGGGGAGAGGGTGCGGGAAGGAGGGGGGAGGGACAGGCCTCAGGGGGGGAGGGACAGGGGGAGGGACATGGGGAGGGACACGCGGGGGGGACCGCTGCATCTCGAGGAGCAAGAGCGGCATAAACACAAACTGTTGGTCCACACGGACCTCCTGGATCGGCGCTGGACCTCCTCCCTAGCGCACGGTGCGCGCCGGAGGCGCCGCCAGGGGACTCCGGCGCCGATCCAGAAGGCTCTGTCCACTTCATTGGTTCGTTCCCCGCACCCAGACCCCCGACGTCATGATTTTTTCATTGCGCGACCCCCAGAGGTCCGGACCTATTCGCCGGGACCGGTTTTTCATCCCGAGTCGTTTTTTGACGGTCCCGAGGGCTGGTAAGGGCCCCGAGAGGCCGAAAATAGCGAAAAGCCTTCCGTCGTGATTTTTCCATGTCTCGAGGGGGTCTGGGAACATGGCGCCCTCCCCTCCCCGACCTCTCCAAATCCAGCGCAGCGCCCGAACAACGAGAGCCCTCCGCTGGGCTCTTGGGTCTCCACTCCGGTCTCCGGCGCCCGCCCGGAAGGCTCTCGGCGGGGCGCAGCTGCGGGCAAGCCCCCGGAGGCTGGAGAGCCCGCCAGGAACGGACGAGGCTGGCGCCGAACACTTCGCCCCCTCCCTTGCGAGGCGGGGATTCGTATCCACATCCACCGCCCGAGAACCGACATCCTGGTGCCCCAGCGGGCGGTGGATATGGACACATATTTCGGCCCCCGGGTGCCCGAAGATGTCCATATCCACCGCCTGCCGAGGCTCCGCACACTGACCCTCCAGGCGGTGGTCATGTAGAAATTCCCGCCTCGGATCCCTGGACCCCCACATCCAGCACCGCGTCCGAACACAGAAGGCGCGGCGCCGTCCTCCCTGTTCACCACGCGGAAGAACTCCGGGACCTCTCGGCGACTCCGAGGGGTGTGGCTTGCACAGGGTGTGGCTCGCGACTGGCATCCCCGGGGGCACCCTGGGGTGCGGGCGAGGACCTCGACGGAGCCCTCCGCCGCGCCCCGAGGGGGCCCGACGAGGACGGCGTCGTGCCCCGCAGGCCCCGACGCTGCCGATCGCAGGCCACACCACGGCCTAACCGTGCCGTTCGTGGTCGCCGAGTGCCTGGGCGCCACCCGCCGGCGCCCAGGGAGAGAAGCCGGGGCGCCGAGGGAGAACTCGCCATCGCTCGGACGTCCATTCGCCGTGCATTTTTCGATCTCGTGCGTGCATGTTTCGCCAAATGATCAAAAATGCTCCTCAATGGTCCACGCCGAGAGAAAAGATGCACACGTCCGAGCGACGCCAAGAGAATGAGCATCGTTTAACCGATCCCCAGCGGCGTGGCTTGGGCCCCACTGGCCGATTTGCCCCCCCAGATGGGGATTTCGGCCGTTCCCTTCGGGTGTCGAGGGGTGCTTTCCCAACTGAGGGGGTAATTTTTGGTGGAGGTCTCGAAGGGGGCGGGGGTGGGGATGGGGGTCGGGTAAACGATCCTGAAAGAAGGGGGGGGCAGAAGCAGAGAGCGCGGTACGCACTCCGACTTTCGGAATGAGGTCGGGCGTGTCCCCCTACAGGCGGCTTCTGGGCGACAAATTAAGAACTAGTCATAAATAATCCAGCAGCAATCGAAAAATCGTCCCCATGATATTTCTTGGACTATGTTTGAATACCCCCCCTGTGGAGGGACGTGCCCGACTTGACTTTGGGAGTACCAGGGGCCCACGCGCACGCAGAAGAGTCTGACGTGACCCGTGGGTGTCGCCAGCATCACCACCGCACAGCGGGGGCGCGACCACAAGAAACCTCCCACGAGAAACCCAAACTTCTGAGACCCCGGGGCGTCTCTGGATTTTTGGCGCGGGGGCGTCGCGCGCCCCGTCGCGAAGCCATCGAGACCCAAAAAATCCAGGGCACCCTGGAGTTATGCTGCTCCCATCGTACTTAATGACCACATCCCAGAAATAATAATGTCGAAAGAATGTCGAAGGAGTGTCGAAGCGGTGCTGGACGAGTGTCTCCAGTGGCCCGGCACGTGAAAACCATTTAGCTTCGGTATGGTTGGGGGGCTCGATATTCTTTCTGGCAGTCAAGGCTACAGTTGGTTGGAACATGGTAACACAGGAGGAGAAGGAGGAAGAGGAGGAGGAGGAGGAGGAGGAGGAGGAGGAGGAGGGGGGGGAGGAGGAGGGGGGAGGAGAGAGGAGGGAGGAGGAGGAGGAGGGGAGGAGGAGGCGGAGGAGGAGGGAGGAGGAGGGATGTTTTCTTGGCGCGGGCGTCCGCTGCGCGGTCGTCGCCCCCCCCCCCGCGGGTGGCCTGGGCATCGGCTCGACAAGCGAGGGAGGGGAGGCGGCGGAGGCAGAGGCGGCGGAGGAGTAGGAGGAGGAGGAGGAGGAGGTGGAGGGGAGGAGGAGGAGATAGAGGGAGGGAGGAGGAGGGAGAGAGGAGGTGGAGGAGGAGGAGGAGGAGGAGGGAGGAGAGATAGGAGGCGGAGGAGGAGGAGGAGGAGGGGAGGAGGAGGAGGAGGAGGAGCGGGAGGGAGGCGGAGGAAGCGGAGGAAGCGGATAGAGGAGGAGGAAGCGGAGGAGGAGGAGGGAGGAGAGGCGGGAGGAGGAGGGAGGAGGAGGAGGAGGAGGAGGAGGAGGAGAAGGAGGCGGAGGAGGAGGAGGAGGAGGAGGAGGAGGAGGCGGAGGAGGAGGTAGGCGGAGGAGGGAGGAGGAGGAGGAGGAGTAGGAGGGGGGGAGGAGGAGGAGGCGAGGAGACGAGGAGGAGGAGCAGGAGGAGGAGGAGGAGGAGAGGAGAGGAGGAGGGGGCGGAGAGTGGAAGGAGGGGAGGGGAGGGGAGGAGGAGGAGGAGGAGGAGGAGGAGGAGGAGGAGGAGGAGGAGGAGGAGGAGGAGGGGGGAGGCAGAGGCGGCGGAGGAGGAGGAGGAGGAGGAGGAGGAGGAGGAGGATGGAGGAGGATGGGGACTCGTTGGTCGTAGCCCTTCGTCGTTCGCCCCTCGCGCGCGCCCTTCTCCTCTCTTTCTCCACGTGGGTCCTCGTTTTGAATGCGCTACGCCCCGCGTGCCTTCTCCATCGGCGCCCCCTCCCCACCTCCCTCCTCTCATTCATGCCTCTGCCCTCCGCACGTCCTCATCGGCATCATCATCATCCTCATCCTCATCCTCATCCTCATCCTCATCCTCATCAGCAGCAGCAGCAGCAGCAGCTTCAGCATCAGCATCATCATCAACAGCATCGTCATCGTCATCAACATCGTCACCATCATCAGCAGCATCATCATTACCATCATTACCAGCATTACCATCACTAACATTACCATCACCGACCTCATCACCATTGCCATCATCGTCATCATCATCAGCGTCATTGCCATCGTCACCATCAACATCATCATCAACACCATCTTTTCACCATCCGTCAACATCATCTTCATCATCAACATCAACATCATCATCATCATCATCATCATCATCAGCATCATCATCATCGTCATCATCATCATCATCATCATCATCATCATCATCATCATCAACATGATCATCAGTATCACCAACACCATCACCATCACCATCGCCATCATCAACATCATCACCATCATCATCGTCATCGTCAGCATCAGCATAAGTATCATCATCACCACCATCACCATCCACCATCCACCATCCACCATCCATCGCCCACTGTCCACCGTCCACCATCACCCATCACCATCCCATCCACCATCGATCATACACCGTCCACCATCCTCCATTCACCATCCACAATCCACCATCCATCATCATCATCATCAGCAGCAGCAGCATCATCATCGTCATCGTCATCGTCATCATCAGCATCATCATCGTCAGCATCATCATCATGAGTACCCTCATGATCAGAAGCAGCAGCATCACCATTATCATCATTGTCATCATGAGCATCATCATCATTAGCATCATCATCATCATCATCATCATCATCATCATCATCATCATCATCGTCATCATCATCATCACCATCGTCATCCACCATCCGTAATCATCTTCATCGTCAGCATCATCATCGTCATCAGCATCGTCACACCATCATCAGCAGCATTTCATCATCAGCCATCGTCATTAAGATCCCTCATCATCCTCCTCATCCGCATCCTCATCCTCAGCCTCATCCGAATCCTCCTTCTCCTCTTCCTCATCGTCATCATCATCAGCAACATCACCAGCATCATCGTCGTCATCGTCATCGTCATCATCAACATCATCAACATTATCAGCATCAGCATCAGCATCATCAACACCACCATCATCAACATCATCATCAACATCAGCATCATCATCATCAACATCATCATCACCATCATCATGATCATCATCACCATCAACACCATCACCATCATCAATCGCATGCCGCCACACCCCTCACCCGTGTTGTGGTCCATAGTGAGCTCCACCGAAGCGAAGGCCACAGTGGTAGAGCCCGCATGCGTCGCCAGGCACATTTCGGCACACCCTCACACATTTCGTGCCCCCACAGGGAGCTCCACTGAAGGCAATATTCACAAGTGCGGTACTCACAACTGCATTTGGTTGGGCATGCCTTCAAAACATTGTTTTTAGAAACCGGGGGAACGAAGCTGGATGTGAACTCCAAACGCTGGAGAATAAGCACGCGAAAGGCCCATCCCTCGTTGGACGCCATGTGAGAGAATGTGAATGAGGCGGTATGAGCGGAGCGAGCGAACTCTTGGTGAAAAGGACGGGTCCTGAAGGAAACTGGTCCTGGACTCCAGGAGCCTTCCCACAAGACCAGCTTTTCGCCCCACGCAGGTAATCTTCTGACGCTACCGCGGCCCCGGGAGGGCTCCGAGCGCCCCCAAACCGGCGAGCCAACTCAAGAACCCGCCGCCTTCAGGACGTGGCGACGACGAGCGGAGCGCGCAGCCTCGTTGTTACAGCAAGTGGACCACTGTGGGAAGAGGACCGCAGAAGAGCCGAGGTATGAAGTTGGGACGGGCTCAGGGGGAGGAGGAGGAGGAGGAGGAGGAGGAGGAAGAAGAGGAGGAGGAGAAGGAGGAGGACGACGATGAGGACGAGGAGGAGGAGGAGGAGGAGGAGGAGGAGGAGGACGAGGAGGATCCGCGAGAGATGGCGAGCGGCCTTGGCGTCCATCTCAGCCGCGAACTCCGCGTTCCCGACCCTCGGCGCTCCTGTGCCAGGAGGGGAAGAAGCGCAAGCAGGCAAGCGCGGGGTCCCGAATTGCCCAACTTCGCGCAGCGCGTCCCGCGCCTTCGCACCCTCGCGTCGCCCCTCCTGGAAAAGGGCGCCTCCCCAGCCCCAGACCGCGCTGCGCGACGCGCGGCTATCTTCGCGCCCCTGAGGGTGACCCAGGGAAGAGGCGCCAATAGGCCTGAACTGAATCTGCAGGCCTCCTAGATGGGGTCGGAGTGGATGGGGTCGGAAGATCGCGCTGCATCGGGCGATACATCGCCGATGCATCGGCGACGCCGGCGATGCATCGGCGAGGCCAGGGCTGAGAAAATCCGCCGACCCTGTCGGCGTGTGCGAGGGGCTTCCTCGTCCGTTCCTCGCCGCCCCCCCTTCTTCCTTCCCCCTTCTTTCTTTTTGGGCCGTACCCTCCTGCCGTCATGCCGTTGTCGATTCGAAGGGAAACCCCTTCCCTTTGATCCCTTCCCCAGGGGGGGGGGTCCCGGGGGGGGTGGCGGGGGGGATCCCGGGGGGGGTCCTGGGAGGGGTGGGGGGGGTGGGGGGGCAGATTCGTTTTTCCTCGGGCGGCCTAGAAACCTCGAAAACACTCCAAATGAGGTCCGAATGCCCAAGATGGCCCCCGAGACGGCCCAAGAGGGCCCCGAGTCGCCCAAAGATCGGCCGAAAACGCCCAAGATAGCCCCAAGACCGTCCAAGAAGCCTCCAAGACGTCCCAGGCCCCCTCCAAGAGACCCCCAGGAAGCCCCAAGAGGCCCCCACGAGGCTTCCAAGCGGCCCCTGAGAGCTTCCCAAGAGGCCCACAAACTACCCCCAAGAGGCCCCCAAGAGCGCTCGTCGTCGTCGTCGTCGTCGTCGTCGTCGTCGTCGTCGTCGTCGTCGTCGTCGTCGTCGTCGTCGTCGTCGTCGCCGTTCAGGGTCGGCGGCACCGGCCGTAAGGCCTTCGCAATCGGGCTCTACATCGAGCCGCATCGCCGATGCATTGGCGATGCGGCACGATCCTCCGACCCCACCTACTGGCATGGGTCTCCACTGTAAGAAGACGACGACCTAGAATTTCACCCCGAGCTGCTGGGGACAGCCCTGGGGCTCACGTTGCTCCCATCATACTTACAAACCACACCCCAGAAACAAGTTCGCACCCGGAAACGTGTCGAAACAGCGTCGAAAGAGTGTCGAAACGGTGTCTGACGAGTGTCTCCTGGGGCCCGACACGTGAAAACCCTTTGAGTTTCGGTACTCCCTTGGTGCTCGACATTCTTTCTGGCGATCACGGCCAAAGTAGGTTGGAACGTCGGAACGTCATAACCCTGGAGGAGGAAGAGGAGGAGGAGGAGGAGGAGGAGGAGGAGGAGGAGGAGGAGGAGGAGGAGGAGGGGAGGATGAGGCGGAGAGGGAGAGGAGGAGGAGGCGGGAGGAGGAGGAGGAGGAGATGGAGAAGGAGGAGAGGAGAGGGATGAGGAGGAACGAGGAGGCGGAGGAGGAGGAGGAGGAGGAGGAGGACGTGTACATGGGGAAGAGGCGGAGGTGGAGGAGGAGGAGGAGGAGGAGGAGGGCGGAGGGCGGAGGAGGAGGAGGAGGAGATGGAGAAGGAGGAGGAGGAGGAGGAGGAGGAGGGAGGAGGAGGGAAGAGGGAGGAGGAGGATCGGGTCTGGGCCCCGCGACGGCGCCCAGACCAGAGCGCACAGCAGCAGATCCCCGCTGCTCCGAGGCCCCGCGGTCGGCTGGGGGGGAGCGGTCGGGCCGCGCCCGCGCGCCCGCGGCGTGCCTGTCCTCCGCGCGCGTCGCCAGGTCCAGTCGAGGCCGCGCCAATCGTCGTCGTCGTCGTCGTCGTCGTCGTCGTCGTCGTCGTCGTCGTCGTCGTCGTCGTCGTCGTCGTGGTCGTCGTCGTCGTCGCCGTCATCGTCGTCGTGGTCGGCGCCGTCGTCGGCGTGGTCGGCGTCGTCGTCGTGGTCGTCGTCGGCGTCGTGGTCGGCGTCGTGGTCGGCGTCGCCGTCGTCGTCGTGGTCGGCGTGGTCGTCGTCGTTGCCGTCGCCGCGTCGGATCGGCTCGCGCCGCGAGCAAAAACCCTGGCTGGGGCCCCCGGGGCCCGCTCCTCTCGCCTGCCGCAGCACCTCCGACGGCGCGGCCGCGCAGCTGCCGCGGCCGCTGCTGCCGATGCCGCCTGCTCTCGCCTCCCTCGTCTTCGCCCAGTCCTCACCCCTCTTCCGCGTCGTCCTCCTCCTGTTCTGCCTCCTCGTTCCTCCTCGTTCCTCCTCCTCCTCCTCGTTCCTCCTCCTCCTCCTCCTCCTCCTCCTCCTCCTCTCCCACTCCTCCTCCTCCCTCCTCCTCATACACACCTCCCTCCTCGTCCTCCGTCCTCCCTCCTCCTCCTCCTTCCCGCCCTCCTCCTTCACCTCTCCTCCGCTCTCCTCCTCCTCTCCTCTTCTCTCCTCCTCCTTCCTCCTCCTCATCTCCTCCTCCTCCTCCTCCTCCTCCTCCTCCTCCTCCTCCCGCTCCTCCTCCTTACTTACGTACGGTCTCCTTCGCGCCACATGCAACTCTCCGTTCCTCGACGCTGGCGTTCACACGCAACGCGAAGCCCATAAAACGCGGGGCAACCTGTCGACATCGAGTGGCCGCTCGGCGCAGCGGATCGGGCAGCCAAGCGACACCGCCCTGCTCTGCCCAGGGGAGAGATGTCGAGACTCCAATCCGCCGATCCGGCGTGCGAGTTTCAGGAAGCCTGAATCACAACCTACAGCCTGAGCTTCCGCTCTGCTGGGGGGGTGGGGCCAGGGGGGCTCTGCCGGGGACGGGGGGGGGCCTGCTCCGCCTGTGCTCCGCTTTCGGGACATGCGAAAATCCGCCAGATTCCCACCCGGGGGGCAGGGAGCCCAAGATGGCCGCCAGATATTTCCCAGACGGTGCAAGATGTACCCAAGATGGCCCAAGATGCCCTCCAAAAAAGGACCGAAGAGGCCCAACACCGTGATTTTCTGCCTGCTTTTGAAGGATTTGGGCGCTACATGTTTTTCGGCATTCCAACGGCCCCAAAGCCTCCAGATCGCCCCAGAGGCCTCCAAAATGGCCCTATTCCCTATGTCCCCTCCCCCCTGTGCCTCCTCCAATTCGTCATCCGGCTCATGTTCATTATCCTTCTTACCCATTATCTTGCTATCTTGCTCCTCCTCCTCCTCCTCCTCCTGCTCCTCCTGCTCTTCCTGCTCCTTCTCCTGCTCCTCCTCCTCCTCCTCCTTCTCCTCCTCCTTCTCCTCCTTCTTATCGTTAGCAGCACTCGCTCGGAACGGACCCCTGCGTCTCGGGATGGAGGAGGAGGAGGAGGAGGAGGAGGAGGAGGAGGAGGAGGCGGCGGCGGCGCCGGCGGACGACGACGACCACCACCACTGACACGGCCACCACCGCGGCGCCGGCCGCGGCTCCGAACGTATACAGGCGGATGCGGTCGAAGAGCCTGTCCCTGGGCGGCTCCGGCGGCTCGGGCGCCTGGGCGCACGGGGGGGGGGAGGGGCGAGGAGGGGGAGGAGGGAGGCGGGGAGGAGGAGGAGGGGAGGAGGAGCGAGGAGGAGGGAGGCGGCGGAGGCGGCGGCGGGAGGGAGGGAGGAGGCGGAGGAGGAGGAGAGGCGCGGAGGAGGAGGAGGCGGCGGAGGCGGAGGCGGACAGAGGAGGCGGAGGCGGAGGAGGAGGGACGGGGGGTGAGGCGGAGGAGGAGGCGGAGGCGGAGGCGGAGGCGGAGGAGGAGGTGAGGCGGAGGAGGTGAGGAGGAGAATGACGAGGAGGAGGAGGAGGAGGGAGGAGGAGGAGGCGGAGGAGGAGGAGGAGGAGGAGGAGGAGGAGGAGGAGGAGGAGGAGGAGGAGGAGGAGGAGGGGGAGAAGAGAGCGCCGACGGCGGGTGAAGCCGCGGCCGGCGGCGAAGCCGCGATGGGGACACTCGCCGTGCCGAGCCGTTGGGCGCTGCGACCCCCACGGGCGCGGCTCCGACGGTGGCCGACGCGTGGGCCTCGAGTCGTGCGCCGGTGCCCCTGGCACAGCTCGCGCCACACGCGGTGCGCCCTGCGCCCCGCGTGCGCCGCGTGCGAGGCGGTGCGAGGCGGCGGGCGGGAGGGCTGCTTTCTCTTCTGGCATGCAGGGACGGAGAGGCGCACCGCCAGGGCGCGGCCTGCTTGCCGATGGCCTCCACGATCAGGAGCAGGGAGAGGCGAGCGAGCAGGACGGAGGAGGAGGAGGAGGAGGAGGAGGAGGAGGAGGAGGAGGCACGATGAGAAGAAGGCTGAGGAAACCGAAGGAGGAGGAAAGGGAAGGAGGAGGAGGAGGAGAAGGAGGAGGAGAAGGAGGAGCAGGAGGAGCAGGAGGAGCAGGAGCAGGAGGAGGAGGAGGAGGAGGAAGAAGAAGAAGGTATGGTATGGTATGGGGTTGGGCGGACAAAAGTCCACCTGCCGACGCTGGGAGGAGGAAGAAGGAAGAGGAGGATGAAGAGGAGGATGAGGTGGATGAGAAGGAGGACGCAGAGGAGAACGGTGAGGAACAAGCAACGAGGAGGTTCGCGCCCCGGCATGGACAAACGATCCGGGCCAAGCCTTTTCCGCCAGGGCCTCCAGCCAAGAGGCAGGGGCAGCCTCCATCCTTCCTCCCTCCTCCCTACTCCCCTTCTCTTTCTTCTCTCCTCCCCGTTCCCTCACCTCTCATCCCTTTCCTTCGCCTCACCATCATCCATCATCAATGGTACCACGTGGTCGTCATCACCCTCCTCCTCCTCCTCCTCCTCATCCTCCTCTTCCTATTCCTCCTCCTCCTCCTCATCATCACATCAGATCACCACCACCACCAACACCACCACCACCATCGTCATCAACCTCATATTGCTTATTATCATGAGTCTTATTGACAAAATACTCGTCCGGATCATCATCATCATTATCATCATCATCATCAGCATCATCATCATCATCATCATCATCACCTCAATCCCTCAATCATCATCACTATCATGATCATCACCATAACCATCATCAGCATCAGCTTCATCAATATCATCGTCATCAGCATCATCACCAACCTCAGCATCAGCATCATCAACATCATCGTCATCAGCACATCGCCATCATCATCATCATTCTCATCATCAGCAGCATCATCATCGTCATCATCATCACCACAATCATCATCATCATCACCATCATCACCATCATCATCGTCGTCATCATCATCGCCACCACAATCATCATGATGATCATCATCATAATCATCAGCATCATCACCATCATCACTATTATCAGTATCATCAGCATCAGCATCATCATCGTCATCAACATCATCAGCGTCATTATCAGCATCATCATCAGCAGCAGCACCATCACCACCACCACCACCATCACCATCACTATCATCTTCATCCTCATCCTCGTCATCGTAATCGTCATCGTCACGATCGCCTTCCTCATGATCACCATCATCATCATCATCATCATCATCAGCAGCAGCAGCAGCATCATCACCATCATCATCATCGTCCTTCTCCTCGTCCTCCTCCACCGCACAGGTCGGCAGGGCAGGCATGGTGCTTCGCCTGACACCTCTTCACCACTTATGGGCCATGAGGCTTGAACATTTCAACGATTACGAACAAAACACATGGAGAACGGGTCGCTTTCAAAATTGAGGCCTCGCCGTGGCGCCGCGCACACTCGTCCCAGAAGCTTGCAGCACTTACAAGGGTACAGTGGAGGCCAGTCCACAAGAAACCTTCCACCGGACACCCAACCCTGAGACAGGGACGTCCATCGACTTTTGGTTTTTGTGGGAACGTCGGCGCGTCCCATCGCAAAACAGTTAAGCCCGGAGAAAACCCAGGAATCCCTGAAGGCAAGCGTTGTTATTCGCCTGGGCCCCCCCTGGAAGTGAGGAGGAGGAGGGAGGAGGAGGAGGAGGAGGAGGAGGAGGAGGCGGAGGGCGATGGAGGAGGAGCAGGAGGGGGGAGAGGCGGTTGGAGGAGTAGGAGGAGGAGGAGGAGGAGGAGGAGTGGGAGAAGGCGAGGCGGAGCGAGGCGAGCAGGAGGAGGAGGAGGAGTGAGGAGGAGGAGGAGGAGGAGAAGATGGAGGAGGAGCAGGAGGAGGATGAGGAGGAGGAGCAGCAGCAGCAGGAGGAGGAGGAGGAGGAGGAGCTTGAGATGTTCTCCCTGTGCCTGACGAAAAGCACGAGAACACTGGTGACCGCTGCACGGCCTGAGGGCGAAAGCGAACAACAAAAACTGGGGCCATCGCTCGGGACCTCCTGGGACTTCGTGACCACACGTGCACGCAGCACCGCACACACAACATCTTGAGACACCCTCGGGTAGGTACAACTCCAAGCCCTACCCTCCTCTCTCCCTACGCACGCCGACGCCGCCGACATCTGCAGACGCAGACAGGGAACGAAGAAGGCCGCAAGCAAGAAGAAGACCGCCTCCGAAGAAGACCGTCCAGCCGACGAGCCAGCGAACGTCAAAGAGAAGGCCCGCAGCAGACGCGACGGGCCGGCCGCAGTACGCAAGCGACCGAGCCACCAGTCCCCCGTCTGCCGCCGACCCCAGCAGCCGCCTCCCCATCCGCCCCCGCTCGCCCGAGCCGCCTGTCCTCCATCATCCTCCCTCCTCCTCTAACCTCCGCTTCCTCCGTGCTCGGTCAGCCCGCCTTCCTCCTCCTCCTCCTCCTCCTCCTCCTCCTCCTCCTCCTCCCCCTCCTCCTCTGGAGCCTCTGGAGCCCCGGACAAGTCTATCCCTCAGCGAAAGATAGCCTGCAATAAACGAATTCAATGCACTGGGAATGGCACTCCAACCTCCCTCTTGCTGGTTGGGCCCACTCCTCTGCGGAGCATCGTCAAAGCTCTCGCGCCTGCGTCCGAGGGATGGGAGCAGCGCGCGGCCAAGTCTTTGACCTGCCGCCGCGCGTGTCTCCCGCACACGGAACAATAAAAGAGATCTGATTCGCTCAGGCGCCACATCCGATGAGACTCATGCACTTTCGCTAAGACTCTGGGGATTCCTGGGCACACATTCTGAACTACCACACTACGTTTCTTTGCCGTCTTACCGCAAACACGACAGCCCCACACACCGTTTGTAATGTGCAGGAGATGTTCTTTGTCATCGGGGTCGATCCTAAGCTGCAGGACGGGCTCAGCTGGACCTACTACAAGCCTGGACGGTTTCGCTTTCGGCTTCTTAAACGGCGTTACATCAGGAAAACTCAACTCGCTGAGCCTCTTGAGGGTTCCCCCGAGGAGCCTCACGAATTGCCTACCTATGTTTTCGGCTGCTGCTACACGCTGCTCCACATGGGCTGCTGAGGGGTGACCCATGGCTCCAAGCTTAGCGTATTTATCTGCTGCTCTGTTCCCGTAGAACCAGTCATCAGGATACCCGTTGTTGCGATACCACGTTTGGGACCTGTGAGATGGCATCCAAAGGACCTCGACGTTTTCTGAGCCAATGTCTTCAAGCTTCCAGAAAATTTGCCTCCAGATCTCCCAAAAGGACTGCTTCGGATCGCACATAACACTCGGCCCCTTCTCGAGGCCTATGAGGATATTCTCATGGTCGGTAACGACGGTGCCCTTTGCCCCGCCGAGCAAGTGGAGCG